TGTGTTAGCCCTGCGATGGATTGGCGACCTGTCCAGGGGGTACCCCGCCTTTGCCCGATTGCCGGCTGGGATTGGCTCCAACCCCCCCGTGACCCCGTTCAGGGACTAAGCGGTAGAGAATGAATGAATAAGTTTATTGTTACTGAGTTAAGGAGTTCAACATCAGGACATTGAGATCCTAGTAAAAATGACATGTGACCTTCAAACTCTGTAAAGAAGAAACAATCTGGTATCTGTGGTGTCACATTACAGTTCCTCCTGATTGTCCCGACCTGTTTAAAGAAACTAGGACCCACTCAGTTTTCCATCATCACTAACCCAGTAGAACAGAAGACACATATTGCAAATGTGTAAACACGTTCTCATTGGATTGACACATTTTCCCACTCTTTGCAAAACAACCAACACGGATGTCATTCAAACAGTCCAAACTCCATTGTTCTAGCTATGGTGACCAAAGACAAACCATCCATTCCTAACTATGAGAAACTATTAAGATCAGTGTAGAATCACTAAAGCTCCTGTTTGACACTGCTTCACACAAATCTTCACTTAGCAATCAGTCTGTGAGCCTGATAAAAACGAGCCAGGTACTTGTTGTTCTTTGCCAATATGGATGGAGGAGGTCTAAGGCAAATGAGAGTGAGAGTAAGAGGTAGAGGAGTCCGGGGGTGATGTGAAGGTGTAGTTGGAAGGGCTCAAGTTTCAGATGAAATTCGGGCAGCTATTATCGATCACATTATCAATCATGTCCCTTCTCTTAGAGAGGCTGGACAAAGAATCCATCCTGTTTTAAACAAAAACACTGTTGCTTCCATTGTCAGAATTTTTTGACAGGAGAACAGGTAGTGTTGCTGTACATTAGATGGAGAAATATCTCTAGTGATATACTTCATGTGTTTCCCCATCCCCATTACATGTATTCTTTATAGAATCCAAAGGCTACCATTCTCTGGTGGTCCAGGGACAATTTTAGTGCTGAGCAGGAGGCAGCCATTGTAAACATAGTTGCAGCAAACAATGCCATAAGGCTACGTGAAATCAGGGAAGCAGTGATCTGTGCAAAAAGGCTAATTTGACACAGCCTATATAGAAAGACAAATGGCACCAGCTATAAGCTACAATGATAAGCACTGATTCACACTGAGTTGTGTATTTTGTCTTTTGTTGTCCACTGTATAATGACTGACTGAAAGAGCTCCTATACTTGTTTGCAAGTTGCGTTGTTTGAAGGCAAAATTTGCTTTTGTTGCCTATTTTAAATGTTTTGGCATGGCTAGAGCCTTTTGCAAACGAAATGTGTCATTTTGCCATAAGTGATACTTTTTAGACAGGTGTGTTAACTGTTTTGAAAATGTAGAGTTTCAATTGACGGCTGCTTCAAAGCAATCAGGAAAAACTGAAAGCTGAACCACGCCTAAAGAGAGAAGACAAAGACTAAATCAATCAAGATGTTTTTAATTCTAACCCGGTTCTTTAATCTGAAGGCCCCAAGAAGTAACACTCAGGATACAGAAATCAGCTTTAAGTAGATTTATTTTCTTCTGGTTAGATGCAGAGTTATTACAGCGCTGGGCCCTGAGAGATGGCAAGTCTCCAAGAGCATCGATCATCACCAAACGTTTACATTTATCTTCTCGGGCTGGGACTGCCCTGTACATGGGTGGTACAATATACGTCAATATTCTAGTATGTTCATATAGGCAATATGTGTGTGTGTTGTTATCTTCT